TGTCCCTACTATTAAGTGCAGGGGAGAACAGACGAATGAAAAACTTTTCCGTAGACAACAATTCTTCCGAAGAACACATGCACAAAGGAATAATTACGTAGGTATGAATTCCACATCTTCGCAACTACTTATACAACCTCTCATTCCTTCGCCCTCCCTCAATCACCGTTGACTGACACGACCTATACACATGTTCCCTCCATCTCGACTGCAAATCTCTTCCAGTACTACCGATATACAAATGACGTGTCCACGGAGCAAAAAGTGCATACACTACCGGACCCTTCCATTCCTCATTCTCAAAGTGACGATGAGACAGAGAATTCAAGAAGAAGCTAATTAACTTAGTGCCCCATGGGATTTGACCAGCAAGGATTAGTCCACACACCGCCAAACAGAAAAGAGCGCTCACAGATTTACACCTCAGCAGGTCCAAAGACAGAGAGCGAATACTAGAACATAGGCGCACGACTTCCCACAAGAAAGCCACGTTCGGGCGTGATCCTAAGAAGCGGTTGAATCACGCCCGTCACCCTCAGAGCTTCCTTCCCCGTCATCGGTCACCACCAACATCGAGGTGCCGTCACCCTTACCTGGTTCGTCATCATCTCCCTCGAATGCCTTACCTGTACGTTTCTGTGCAATCACCTCCTTGGTAGGGTCCAAAGTGGTGTACTCAATCCCCTCCTTCTTACAAATGTTAACCACCTTTTCCTTCTTTAAGCCTCGTAGCTCCCTTCTTGCTGCTCGTAGGAAGGCATCCTTGTCATTGATTGCGACAGGACTGGCAACGACCTTGCACTTACCCTTCATGTTTGAACGAACCTCATCACCACGCGATTTCTCTTTCCTTGAAGACGGTCCCGCAGCTTCATCCAGTTTCGCTTTCAAATTACTCCGCGTATTGGCTCGATTTTCCATCTCAAGACGAGCCATCTCTTCTTTTAACCGTTCAACCTCGAGTTCACTCTCCTTGCGAGCATTTACCTCCTTGAGTCTCATTTCTTTAAGAAGATCAACCTCCCTCTGGTGTCTCTCAACAATTCCTTTCAGCCTTTCATCAACCCTCCTCACAGCGCCAGGAGTCTCCAAAAGAGTCAGCCGAGGTCTAACTCTGTTTTGAGTCATAGGAGTATCCCCAATAGCCACGCCTCCCCTCTTATTATCAGGCCTGAGTGCTTCGGCCTCCAGACCTCCGCGTTAGCTTCGGCATCTTCACACTGCCGTTGGAGGGCATAAATCACCTCTTCCATAGCTGCTAGCCGCCTATCCGTAGCTTTCTTCAGTTCAACCTGCTCGCTACGAAGGCGCGCCACCTCATCATCTTCAACAGGTTTTATCACTTCGCCAGATGTGCTAGCAGCAATCGGCCGTCGTTGAAGCTCCTCGATTCTCGCCTTCAACTTAGACACCTCTTCACTCTTAGTGTCCTTCTTTCCGTTGATCGCTTCATAAACCCGATCTAGTTAGACTGACACCTCGTTATTGATTTGAACTTGAAAATCCTCACGCTCCTTCTTGTCACGTTGGCGCTGTTTCTCTTCATCTCGCTCTCGCTTCTTCCGTTTCTCCTCTTCACGCAGCGCTTGTTCTCTGGCTTCATCAGCATCGTGTTTCGCTTTTATCCTTCCAACGGTATCTTCCAATGAGGAAACTCTCTTCACGAGATAACCTCCTCCGCCCGAATAGCCCGTATTAAACCGGGCAACAGTTCCTACGTTCGACTGAGAGTTAGGATTGGGCGGCATAGTCAACAAAGGAGCCTGGACTGGCACTATAGCCGTGCTAGTCGAAGGCCGACATCCATTCAAACGACGGTCAGGGTATGGACAGAACCTAGAGATGTGTCCTCGCTGGCCATAGTTGTAGCAGTCACGGTTGTCGTTCATGTTAGAATTGTTCGAAGCCATCACTCGTGAAAATATCAGAGTCACACAACAGTAGTCTAACTTCTACGTCGGTTACTCTGTGTGAGAATGGTGTCGGAGTGACACACAGTAATGATAAAGACGGCTTAGACCAAACTCACATGACAACAACAGACCGAAGAGGGAGAAGAAGAAGAAGAAGAAGAAGAAGAAGAAGAAGAAGAAGAAGAAGAGAACTAGACAAGACAGAAAATAGTGGAGAAGGAGAAAAAAACAACGTTCCAACAGATTGCTAGACAAGCTAGAGGGATCTACAGAAGGAATAGACGGATGGGCAGAGAAACTGGACAAAATTTGAAAACGAAGA